TACGTACGTACGTACGTACGTACGTACGTACGTACGTACGTACGTACGACGAGAGAGAGAGAGAGAGAGAGAGAGAGAGAGAGACACACACACACACACACACACACACACACACACACACATACACACACACACGCGCGCGCGCACACACACACAAATTCTTTAGTAGGACCTACAATACCCCGTCCATCCTTTAAAAAAATTGCCACACTGTTTGATGAAGCCATCCTCGCTGCTAAATGCTGAAGTGCGATCACGGATATAAATGATAGTACGCAGCTCTCGTGTCTGAGCGATTGGTTGCCCCTCGATCTACTCTATCTACTGACAACCAGAATCCACGGTGAGTGTGACAGTGCGTGTGTGCGTGCGTGCGTGCGTGCGTGCGTGCGTGCGTGCGTGCGTGCGTGCGTGCGTGCGTACGTACTTGTACGTGCCTGTGTGTGTGTGTGCGTGCGTGTGACTGCGTGTGACTGCGTATGCGCATATATTTTTATATATTTATGTGTCAGTGTGCAGCAGCTAGCGTGCGGCGGCCAGCGTGTGTTGTAGATGAGCATTTGGACGGCATTTACAGGAAATTATCCGCAATAATAGGTGAAAGAGAGTAGAGAAACATTAAGACTTTGCATGGTAGTAAATAGATTTCGTATTTATTTAGCATTATATTTTATTGAAACGCTCCAAGTGTCTGTGTGTTCGTACGTGCAAGTGCGTGCTTGTGTGTGTGTTTGTGTACAGAGATGTGCGTGAGATGAAATGCCACTGTTTATTGGATGTATTATGGATATCGCGTAGAATTGTTTGCTGAGACCATGCAGCTCGATATTCGCCCGCAGTAGAAAATCCCGCCCGCGCGCCCCTATCGCAGCCCTATCGCAGCAGCAGCAGCAGCAGCAGCAGCAGCAGCAGCAGCAGCAGCAGCAGCGGCAACGTGCTGTATACTGTCCCAGCAGGCGTGTCATTCGGCAGCATCGGCTGTCCCGTTATGTGCTGCCTAATCCATCGGCACATCTGATGGTCCTTTGTGAGTACTCGTGTTCATGTAAACATGCAGTGCCTGTGTGTATATATGCAGCGTGTGTATGTATGTATAATGAATGCGCGTTTATGGGCGTTATGCGTCGTAGGATTCAATGTAGTATGCATGTATGTAAAGTTGCTGAGGCGGTCTATGTCCCCCGGGGTACTGCCGGAACGTACCCTGGGTACGGTTCGATATACCGGAACGTACCCTGGTACTATCTAATATGCCGCACCGTATCTCGCCTACTCCACTAACAAGTCTAGGGAGTCGCCTACGCCTACTCCCTAACCCTAACCCTAACCCTAACCCTAACCTTAACCCTAACCCTAATCCTAATCCTAACCATATCAGGAGTCTATCAATATCAAATTATTGATAGACTCCTGACCATATCAAATAGTGACCAGGGTACGTTCCGGTGTACCGGACCGTACCCAGGGTACGTTCCGGCGGTACCCTGGTGGACATAGACCCTATGAGCTGTACGCATGTATGTATGTGGAATTCAATAATACGCATGTTTATCTTACTATATGTTACGTTACTATTGCTCGATTATTCAGTTGGTAAATCATAATTTACTATCAAATATAGCAGCTTCAACAAATATTACGTTGGTTTCTCATGCTTTATTATCAACCCTTACCTAATGTTACCACAAGCATAGATAGCTAGTTCGCAGTGACGTTTTACGTGGTTATTGCATTAATCGTTTTCCTCTAGGCTCAAAATTCAAATTTCAAAACGATTACCGATAAAATGACGCAAGGATTTTATACGCATTCTCTGCGTTTGCGTGTGATTGTCAATGACTTAAATTTTTTCTGAACAAGCATAATGAATATTGCTCTTTCATTAGGTTTTGTGCATTATAAACTAACGTACATTTCGGTATTAGCACCTTATTCGAGGATGCGTTTGTCTGTTCTCGTTCCAGAGCCATGTCGACGGGTGAGACTGTGCAGGTGATCGTGAGGGCACGGCCCATGAACGATCGCGAGAAGAAACTGAAATGCAAGGTAAGCTCGTCATTAGAAATGATATTGTGATATTGTCTTAAAAGATAATGTCTTTCTCTAGAAATAACATCCGATAGTGGGTCAGTATTTTCGGCCTGCTGCACTTAACTGGCAGTGACGCATATACGTGTCCGTATCCGAGTCACTGCATGTCCTGTCTACTTTTCCCTCTTGCCTTTCATAGGTGGTGCTAGAGATGGACGCCGTGAGTTGCGTGATCACGAACCCCAATGACAAGACCGCGCCGCCGAAGAAGTTCACCTTCGACGCGGCGTACTTCACGGACTCGACCACCGAACAGATCTACAGTGACATCGGCTTCCCGCTAGTCGAGGTGAGGCACTCGAGGCATCGAGGCACTCGAGGCACTTGAGGCACTTGAGGCATCGCTGCCTGGCGCTGGTCGTCGCGTACACTTTGTCAATGTGACGTCTTTTGCGAAAGTCACCCTCGTTATCGTTGAAACCCCGTGTCGCAGCTATACATCTACAGTGTCGTAGCTATAGTCGGTTCTATATAGAATTGGGGGTGGGGGTCGTTATGACTATAGTTAGTGCAGTGTTTACTGACGTACGCTGCTCATGATTCACCATTATTTCTGTAACGAGCTTCGAAGCATCATGTATCCTGCCTGCTCGGAGCGTTTTACATGCTTTTGCTATGTGGTGCCTGCGTCACCGCGTGGTTGTTATCGATGTTGATTCACAATAGCAAGGCATAGACGCTGGAGTGGCAGTGACAACTAGCTGTAATACACCGTGCGCTGTCAATGGCAACCGTGCATTAAGCATGCTCGATATTATTGCATCTCCCCTTCTTCGTAACAGTGTTGGCGGCATTATGATAAGCATGAAACGGTGGCGAAACGTTGAGGTCAGACTAAAGCAAAAAACTGTCTGGAACAGCGCGGGGCTAATGGTAAGCCGCGGTCAGTGCCGAGCCAACGGAAATTACCTCAGGTCAAGGCATGGCTTGCAGAGATGAGTGACCAGGCAAAAGCGTTCCTAATTAATACAGCGCAGTGCGTCAAGGCAGGACATATTACTATTAGGGTTAAAAATGCAGAGATTCCGCACGGGTAGTTTGTGCATCCGTGCGCGCGTATCTTCGCGCGCCAACTACCCAGGCAGAAAAGTCGAATCATCTCCGGCGTTGAATGAATTTTCGCGCCAATTAATCAATAACACCTCATACCTGCTCGCAGCGTCCATCATGAAGTTGTGCGTTCTAGGCTCCAGCACCCATTTCAGTCTGCAATCTACTAATCGCGTTGCTTCGCTCTGCTGTTGCCGGATATTGCTGGCGTGTATAGGGTTATTGTCCCTATGCACATATATCTCTACTGATGAAATTCGACATCCTCCCCCCTACTCTCTCACACACACACGCTCTCTCTCTCTCTCTCTCTCTCTCTCTCTCTCTCTCTCTCTCTCTCTGTCTCTTCTCTTCTCTCTCTCTCTCTCTCTCTCTCTCTCATCCTCGTCTCTCTCTCTCTTGTCTTTTACTCTAGTCTCTCTAATGGATAAGATTGTTGAAACTTGCGGACTCCAAGGTCCCTCTTTCTGTTTCAAACGAGTACTTATAAATTAATGCACCTGACGGAATGTGGTAGTATTTAAATCTGAGGTGCTAGCTCTTTTGCTATGGCGCAGCGTGTTGTAAACAAAGGCACTATATAGGGAACTCGTCCGAACGGTAGGGTATGTGCCTTTTTCCAATATGACTAGTGGATTGTAACGAGATCACTTACAGGGATAAATTACCGGCAATAATATTGAAGTAAATTGAACATTGTGTAGATGAGCGAATAAGAATCTGTAGCACGGACACGACTCTTTTAGGTTACGATTATTATTTATAATTATATATTATAATTATATAAACTTATATTATATTTAGATATAATATTAGAGTATCTATTATTATTTAGATTTATATTATACTATTCGTTTTAGTTTAAGGGCGTTATGTTTTCTGCGAGCAATCTAAAGACACGACACGTAACGCTACTCTCTAATACTGCCCCCCAGCATCGCAGGTGCACGTCTCAATGTCAGCGTGCATGTGGTCGTCAGTCTCAACACTCTATACCCCCCCCACACACACCACCCTCCACTTACCGGGCGTTGCACACTCTATACCCCCCCCCGCACGAGCAGACGCCAAAAAACCTTGGGGGTCGCGTGCACGCGTCCAGCGTCGCCCTTATACCTCCCCCCCCCCCGCGTTGATGACTATGGTCCAGCGTCTCCCTCTTAATACCCCTCGCCCCCACCGAACCACCCCACCCTCCCGGGCGTGCACCTCTAATACCCCTTCCCAGCGGTTGTCGCGTGCACGCGTCCAGCGTCGCACACTCGTCTAATAGTCATCCCCACCTCCCCCCTGGCGTCGCGTGCACGCGTCCAATCACACAATCTAATACCATCCCCATGCCCCTTCCCCACACTCGCCGTCTCACGCTCTGCGCCTTCTCTTGTTAGAACGTGACTGGAGGCATACAATGGCCGTGTTCGCGTCACGGTGCAGGACGGGCTGCGGCAAGTCTGTTCACGATGAGTGGACGCGCGAGGAGCGGCGGATCGCAACGCGGCGTCATACGCGCAGCGTATCGAGCACTACTTCGACAAGGACATGTCGTCGGGCGGATGAACACCAAATGTTCTCGTGCACGCCTCAGCTCCTGGAGATCTACATCGGAAGGAGATTCGAGTCTGCCGGCAAAGGACCGAAGAACAAGTCGACATCAAGGTGCATCCTGACTGCCGGGCATTACTACAAGAGTGGGCACAAACGCGGCACTGGTATGTCGTTCAAGGCGACGGACAAGTGGCAGAAGTACATAAATATATGCACGGTGAGTTACACGCGTTCAGAAGTATATATGATTTCATAGGTTGGCACAGTGACAGGGGATAATAGTACAAGTGGCACAGGCTGCAGAAGGCGCTGTATATACAAGTGGGTAACGCGGCAGAGGGCATGTAAAGCGTACAGGTGGGTACACGCGGGGCATTACGTACAAGGGGTAACGCGCAGGGCATGTGTACAAGGGTGGTACACGCCGGCGAGGCACGTAGTAGCAAGGTGGGTACACGGGCAGCGAATGTCGTTACAAGGTGGGTCACGCGCAGAGAGGTAGTTACGAGGTGGGTACAGCGGCAGGGCATGATCGTACAAGGTGGGTACACCGGCGGACATTACGTACAAGTGGGTACACGCGGACAGGGCCAATTACGTACAGGTGGGTACACGCGGCAGAGGCGAATGTACTACATAGCGTGGGTACACGCGGCAGAGGCATGTAGTACAAAGTGCTCACGACACGAGCAGAGAGTATAAATTATTATGATCAAGGTTGAAGGTACAAGTGAGCAGAAGTGTAATATTATGTCAAGAGTGGGTACACTGGGCACGGTGAATATATTTCCAATTGGGTACACTGGCAGAGGTATATATAAACTAGAGCACTCAAGAGCACAGGACTCCGCAAGGCAGCCTGAATTTCTTCTCAATGTGAATTTTTTTATTAATTAATTGGTATCGGTATTATCGTGCGGCGTGCAGGTGGGGGGGGGAGGGATGCTGGTTGCCCTAGCCTGTGGTTGCTTGTTTGTCTTTGCATTTTAGTCTACACAGCCGCATCCCTAGCGGAAGTGAATGAAACGGCCCTGCATGTTTGCTAACAACCCACAACACACAAACAACACTCAACAACAGCCGTTGAAACATAACCCCGCCAGCCCCTGCGGAGGTAACAAGGTTGGTTCACATGCGCAGAAGTAGATATATTCCGGTGGGTCACAGTGGCAGGGTAGTATATATTATATAATACTATAATATATATATATATATTAATTATTATACACATTCCAGGTGGGTACACGTGGCGGAGGTATTATTATCTATCTAGGGAATTTATAGAAGGTACGATAATAAACACAAGAGTTACAGCCGTTCGCATTTTTAACGATTTTTCTCTATAAAATTTGCCACGCCAATAAGAAGCAAGTGTATACGTTCCTTAGCTCTTTATGACACCTAGATTTCCACTCACCTTATGGGTATTGATATTCGGTTACTATATTTGCTAGCGTTTGCTGTAAATCTATCTGCCGAGCTTAATTGATAAATTTTACGCATAAAATGGGCCGACTATGTTGCGAGCTGTTGTAGACTTATTAGAGTATCGGTGCGCCAATATTTAGCAAGGACGGTTTCCAGAATCTGTGCCGATAGGGGATTTAAGTACTTGCTACCTGCGGTGGCGTATGTATACTTACGTGCAAACTAACTACAGAGAATTTGTTTATTATGTATTATTATTATGTAAGATAGTATGTCGATTTCTTGTGTTGCGGTCACATAACTGAGCGCTGTCTCGCAGGGTGGGCTTCACGAGGATCAAATTTCGAATCTTAGATTGTCTCTCAACCTGTGGGGCACGATGATTTGGAAACGTCGTTGTAAAATATTCGCTCCGATAGCTTCTAATAATGCGCTAAACAAGGATCACAAAACTAGCGCGCTAATCGTCTGGCCGATTCAGCCTCGTGCAGATTAGTTTCAGCATACGCTAGCAAGTATATGTAAGGAATATTCGAGTCCATGAAGTGATGTGATTAGTGGTATAATAGTGCTAGAACGTATCACTTGCTTCTTTAGATTGCGTCGGCAATTTTGTGAAAAATCGAGAGGTAAAAAGCTCGGGTAATCGGGTGTGTACTTTTGTGTATTATCCTACTCTTTTGATAATTTATATTATTATATAAGATAATATATATATATATATATAGATAGATAGATATATAGATAGATAGATATATATATATATATTCAAGGTGAGTACACAGTGTTAAGTATGCATGTACGAAGTGTATGGGAACACAAGCTGAGCATGTAAGTACATGGTGGAAATACTAGACCATAGGCAATGTAGTTTGCCCATTTGTGATCTTCTCATATATGTCTATAGAACGGACCACATTCTGGCAGAGTGGTTATGTGCAAGGCACAAGTATAAAGTGGATGCGTGCAGTGAGGTTATATGAGTAGAAGATGAGTACGTGATGCGGGGCATTTATCCACTCAAATAACTAGTACAATGCTACACTGCTAGTAATACGAGCAGTCGCTGTTAGAACGTGATCACGCCTCGAATCGATGTCCGATTAATATAATCAGTGATCCTCCTGCTCTCGCGTGGCAGGTCTCACCATGCATCCGGTGCACAATGTGCGGGAGTGCGAGAAGGTGATGCAGCAGGGCTGGAAGAACAGGTCTACCGGTTCTACGCTTATGAACGCCGACTCGTCGCGATCGCACGCCATCTTCGCGATCAACCTCGAGATGGTGACGACGGATGCGAACGATGAGGAGCACATCCGTGCTGCCAAATTGAACCTCGTCGACCTGGCCGGAAGCGAAAGACAGGCGAAGACAGGTGAGCATGAGCGTGCGTGCAATATCGATGATCAATGTGCTTTTTAGGCTAGGTCAGGGTTAGTAAGGCTATTACTGGGGAAGTGTAGAAGGTGTAGGAGGTCTAGCATAGGTGGGTGGCAAATCTAACTAGGGCATGCTAGCCGTTCGGCATCCTAGCATAGGTTAGAGATTATGGTTATATATACATGGTTATATATGGTTATATATAATATGGAGATATAGGTTAGAGATACTAAATATTTATATTGTATATGTGAGTGGTTATGCAAGCTCAAATAGCTGTATGGTTGGGAAGCTATGATATGTTATCCTGATCATATCATATGGCTATTACGAATCATATGTGTGTATGATGACAATTATCTTTCTGTCCACTGTAAAAGAAAGTACCCGGACTTTATGTTGTAATGTTGTAAAACTTTTAGTGAAAAAGTAAAATACAAATAAATGCAGCTTGCCTAGACATGAGATGACTGAGTCACACGTTATGTCACAATTGAGAGTGCTGAGACGTTATCTTCTCGCAACGATGACAGTGTCGTTTGTATGCAGGGTTTTAAATGGCTTGACAAATAACAAGTGAGAAATGACAAGTGAGTGATAGATATGCTCAACAGGTAGTTACTGTTGCAGGTGCTACTGGGGAACGATTGAAAGAAGCGACGAAGATTAACCTATCACTGTCGGCACTTGGAAATGTCATATCTTCACTCGTGGATGGCAAAGCTACTCATATACCCTACAGGGATTCCAAATTGACTCGTCTGCTTCAGGATTCCCTCGGTGAGTCGTTATCTCTAGCGTCTGTGGAGTGCGAGCATTCTCTATCTTACGGTTTCACTCGGTTTCACGTCTGTTCACGATTATTGGAAGTCTCTCTTCAGTCGGCCAAGTCTTCTCAAGCATTAAGCCTCTTAAGTATGCATACTGCTGTGTCAAGATATCTGTACAATATACGTGTGTGTGTGCGTGCGTGCGTGCGTGCGTGCGTGCGTGCGTGCGTGCGTGCGTGCGTATGTGTACACAATTCCTTTTGCTGTTCCAATTGCTGATATGCTGTTCAAGTCTCTCGTATGTATTTGTCTATTTGTGTATGTATTAGGCCTCCTACATCTGCATACTGTGGGGTCAGAATTTCTGTACAATGTATGTGTATGTGTATATGTGTGTATGCTTTCATGCGTGCATGTGTATGTGTCTATATGTTGTTCACGTCACTTATGTGTATGTGTGTGTGTGCGTGCGTGCGTGCGTGTGTGTGCACGTGCGTGTATGTGCATATGTGTGTGTGTCTGCATAAGTATATGTGCGTTGTGTGTGTATGTGTGTGTGTGTATTATGTGTGTATGCGTTCATGCGTGCGTGCGTATGTGTCTATAAGCTGTTTACGTCACTTATGTGTGTGTATGTGTGTGTATGTGTGTGTGTGTGTGTGTGTGCGTGCGTGCGTGCGTGCGTGCGTGCGTGCGTGCGTGCGTGCGTGCGTGCGTGCGTGCGTGCGTGCGTGCGTGCGTGCGTGCGTGCACGTGTACGTGTGTTATATGCCGCGCGTACAACGTCGTCGTCGCAGGTGGCAACACGAAGACGCTCATGATCGCGTGTCTGTCGCCGGCCGACAACAACTACGAGGAGACGCTGAGCACGCTGCGCTACGCCAACCGCGCCAAGAACATCAAGAACAAGCCGAAGATCAACGAGGATCCGAAGGACGCGCTGCTGCGGCAGTACCAGGAGGAGATCGAGAAGCTGAAGGCCATGCTGACCGGTCAAGCGCCACTGCCCATCGGTGAGCGAGTCACGCTACGATCGACATGGCCAGATTTACGCATAAGCTAAACAAGCTACAGCATAAGGGGCTCACAGTCTGAAGGCACCTCTCAAAATCGTTTGTTTTTCATTTGTTACACTATAACTATAATTGATGATATAAGTGATGATTTAACCTAATTAACAACAATTAACATTAAACCCAAGTATTAAAAAAATATCATTATTTAGTAATATTTACAAAAGTTTGCTTCCCTTAGCTTAGGACCTCGCTTTGTCTAAATCTGGCCTTGAAGGTCGAAGTCGACAGTCTCTCTGTATATCGAACGCCTGTCCATAAAGCACACTTTCAGGGGGTTTTCTTGAGTGCAGATATATATGGTGATATATACCATCTCTATGTAATGGACTTCTGTCTGTAAATGACACTTTTCCTTTTTTTCTTGAGTGGCATGCAGTTATACACTGAAACCACCTCTATAGAACAGACGTCTGTCCGGAAGGGTCACTTTACCTTTCTTCCTTGTGTAGCAGTTATACAGTGAAACCCCCTCTCTAGACAAAGCACCCGTCTATAACAGAAACTTTTCACGTTTTTTCCTTGAGTGGCAGTTATACAGTGAAACCCCCAATTATAGCAGCGACAACTGTCTATAAACGATACTTGTCCCGTTTTTCTCGTGTGGAAGTTATACTGTGTCTCTCTCTATATAATCCTCCTCCTCCACTTCATCCTTCTCCTCCTCCACCTCCTCCTTCTCCTCCTCCACTTCCTCTTTCTCCTCCTCCTCCATCCATACTCCTCTATAGATTCAGTGCCTATCTATACCGGTCATTTTTGGCATTTCTTTCGACTGACACTACTACATAGGTTTGACTGTATCTATGAAGGCATATGTGAAGCTCAGCAACGAGCAACCTACTGACCGACGTCTGTTGATGGCTAGTAGTAGGCTGTCGGTCACTCCGTGCCTTGCACCACGTGCTGCCTGCTTTCATAACTGCCTGCCACTGATTTGGCATGTAATTACCTATGTGATAATTGGCTTCAGTAGTGCGAATAATAGCTGCAGTGAGTCATGCTTATTTATTATTGTCATGAGTTATTCTGATTTGCTCTGATTTGTGAGCAATAATTTGTGAGCAATAAAATATAAAGCTACAGCTATATCACGTTTATATGGTGACAATTGTTATCATCCTTGTTTTTTTCTACAGCTGTACTCTATGACCCTAGCTGTACGTTATAGTAGGTGCAATGTTGTTGCGTTAATATGCTACATTGAGCACCTGCGCTTTGGCATCATGTACATTGCAGATCAGTCAGCTGATCACTCACAAGATATACAGAGAGAGAAGGAGAGACTTCAGGAGGTGAGTTGTTCCTCGATCCAGATCTGCCAGAGCAATACAGAGATGAGATAATAATATGGCATTATAAGTGTATGCATCCATATATATATCACCGAAATTCGTGCTGGGTAAAAATAACCTTCTCCATGTTATCATTATGTCTTCATTTTACATGTACTGTGCTAGAGTTTACAGCAGTTGTATGTTCTGTTGCATCGCCCACTATATATACTGTATTTAGTTATTTATAGTACTGCAGTTTTGTTCGTGATTACTAGTCACTAGAGTTGCATGATAGAGATTATTTTTCTATGTGTCTCTGGTTAGTTGTAGTTTAGGCAGCCCTTTATGTTGAAGCAGGATGGAATATCAGTTAGATGTTGCTATTGATGATCTTCTGGTACTACTGTCATTGTAAAAACTTGAGATAATATTAAACCTCTTCAGAAAAACTGAAGACAAACATCTGTTGAGGTGGTAAGAGTCACAGCGCATTCACAATCTGGCCCTTGCTGCATTCCATCCACGTCTCTGCAACTCATACACGCCCCATCGTGCTTTACAGGAGTATGAAGACAAGATGTCAGACATGCGTGTCAAGTACGAAAAAGAGCAGAAGAGCAACGTTAGGCTACATGAGGACATAGAGAAACTGAGGAAGCAGTACGATGACAAGATCTCTCTAGTTAAAGACAAGTATAAGAGCGAACGTACGTAATCATTAAGTGTTGCACATCAAGTTGCCAGCACGCACTGACGAGTACCAAAAAATTCCTAAAATTAACTAGATACTCCTGCTGTTTTCATGTAGTTGCCAGTTTGGCTATTCGTGTTTACGACGTTGCGTTCTTAGCATTAACTATTGCGAGGAATTACCCACTGTAGGATTATACACTCACACTGTTTGGCTTTCAATGAGATTCACGGACAGTTTCCAGATGTGACGCTTTTAGCTCAGGTTTCATTAAAGGAAAGCTGAGGTAGAATTAATTATTTACCGTCTGTCGTGTTAAATCAATCGGCTGGCCGCGCGTCCTCTATTACCTAGGCGGTGAAAGCACGTAATTAAATGTTCACGCCGGTCAGTCGGATGTATACGTGGAGAAGGAATTAGGATTCTATGTGCTTGCTTGACGCGGTAATCGGTCGTAAATGGCTTCATCATCCTTACAGCAGAACAGGTAGAGGCGACGGCGCAGGATGGACTCGGTGAGAAGATTGTCGTGAAGAGGTGAGTGCAGCTCGAGTGAATGATGGGGTTTCTGTCGTCGATCCACTCGTTATAGCAATGCGTTTTGAAAGGTGCGTGTGTAAGTCTAAATCTGAGAGAGGTTTTTTGCTCATTTTCTTGGGGAAAACAAAAGTCCATCTAAATCGAATTTAAATTGTTTGCAGTGCTTTTAAAATTCCGTACTAGCATGTGTCATATACAGCTGTGTAGGTTAAACGTTTATCAGTATGTCGACATGAGAGCAGTAAATATAGTCAAAAGGTTTAATTGTCTACGGTTGTTTGTTGCATGTAAGCAGGGGTGGATAATGATAGGTCTGTCATTATTCACCTCTTTATATAAGTTGAATTTGAAAAATTGATGGAATATTAAACAATTATAATATGCCCGCATGTATGTTGCAGGTAACTTTTGTTTTCGTTTTTTTGCAATCGCATATGTCATTAGGCCAGAACGAAATTTTTGTATGCAAAAGTCATAATAAGTTTGTTGTGCTATCAGTACATACTGGTCACTTTTATACTGAAAGTACAAATATTGTTGTACTTATGGCATCACTGATGGTATCAGTGAGAGTGCCAATACGGGTACCGCTGGTGGTAATATCACTGTGCATGCTCATGTGGGGGGTGCCCGTGTCCTTCACTTAACACCACTTCAGGTGCCACTGTGAGAGCCGTTCTGTGGTTAGCATTTATACCACTATGTAGGTGGAAACGTAGACTGGTGCCAGGGTTGATACCACTGCAGGAACCCATGCACAAACTCCTCCACAAACATTAGACTGCTTCACTAAATGACATTTTACGATTTAGATTGCACTGTTATCGTACTTGCTTTTAGTTACTTCGTTTCGATGTATGCACGTAGTTAGTTTGTCATGTCCTGGCTAAAATTCTTGTGTAATTCACTCCGATAGAAGCACTGCATGATCAAGCACAGGATGAAGCAACTATTGCCAAAGTTATTCGATATAAAAAGTATATGCCTTTTATATCAAACTAGCTCATAAAATACACATTGCCCGGGCGAAAGGGGTAGAGGGGTGTTATATGTTAGGAAATGATTCGTGATTGATAGTGTTAGAAGGAAATCTGTTGACATACGTGCACACGCTCACATGCACAGCTAGGCACTCACACGCACAGACACGCACACATGTACGCATGCATGCACACTCAGAGAATCAAATGATGAGCTAAACCTAGCCTGTCCATGTAGTTGGGTCGTGTAGTGCATAGTGTCCGTAGAGCAAGAATGGAGAGAAAGTTTGCCAAGAGTAGTGTTAGTGGGGGTAGCAGAAACTAGCGAATCGGACAACGGTATTCAGACACCCTGTGCTGCCTCATAATGAGGAGGAGCCTGAAGGTCATTTCTCCATAACTTGTGTATGTTTCGCCTGATTTTATGAAGGCGTTCTTTTGCAACTTGACCTTTCACAGTCTGCGTGTCTGGCCTTCCCACCTGCTAGACCTATGTAGGATTATTGGCTGATTATGAGCTACGGAGAGAAATATATAGACAGGTGACCCTCGAGTGTATGCAGTGGCAGGTGTTAGCTAACTGAAAGCAAAAGCAGCGGAAGTCTTACTCAGAGTGTACACCATCGAAATACGCATGATCCATTTATAAATTAAAGGATTAAAAAAAGGATTTAAACGTAAAACAGGATAATTTAATTGCTTATAATTATTGAAGGTTGGTATTCATGGGAATACAGGGCCAGATCGTGTGTGGAACCAAATATTTAGCCAGATAAATTGGTTACTTTCGAAGTGGGTTCATGTGATACTAAACGTTTAGGTCTCCCTGATCGAGTACAACTCATATTAACTCTTATAATAACCAACACAGGTGTATTTTTTCTTGTCATTTACCCACTCAGTGATGTGATGTGAACGTGGGGTGGTGCCATGATGAAAGCTTTGATGTAGGGTAGGGTATTTTATTATGAAGAATCCATCGTGTGGTGTTTCTTTTATGAAATTAAGCATGCCGGCGAGGCTTTATACCCCGAGTATTTCGTGCCAGACTCGCTCTCATAAAGAGACGTGCTATGTTTTGCAGTTTGGCTGGTGGTTACCACTCTAGCACACTGTCTGCGATCAGAGACCAAAGTGATGCCCTAGAAAGGTAGTCCACATTTATTTGCATATTTGCTAGGCATATTTCACTGTTCCGTTGCTCTTATGCTTATTGTTGTATTAATAAATTTGATGGCCTTGAAACTGATACCAAACATATGTAACCTAGAAGCAAGCAAAATCTTCCAAATCTGCTGTTGATGCCAATTTGGTTGCATCAGACTACTGTTTTAACAGTACTAAGTGACAAGAATAGCTCTGCACTGACAAACATGCATGCACAATCAGTCAGCACTTAATTGGTACCTATTACATATGACACGTACAACATGATACTGATTTTACATCACTTAAATAAAGTGCAGGAAGATTAATTTCAACAAAACAGACGAAATTTTTTCTGCTATTTTTGCTGTCGCCTATACTTGCAAAAGGCTTTTATTACGTTTAAAATTCCCCTGTGCATGAGGATATGTTTTAATTTATATTGTATTTCGTTTTATCTTCAATTTTGTTTACTGTGATTAAGTTGAATGCATTGCGCATGCGTGAAGGTTAATATAGAGGCCTGCAGAAGAGAACAGAAGCTGTGCTGTTGAGTCAATGAAATACGTTTGGACTCTGCACAGGTTACAAGAACTTCAAAACATCATGGTAGGAGGAGAGAGAGCCAATGATGTTGAATTAAAGGAAAAGCGGAAAAAGAAGAAATTGGTTGCGGAAAAGAAGAGACAGAAGCTAGCAGGTGTGGTAGAAACATCTTCATGTGACAATATCGATACAAATTCCTATCACCTAGCAATATACGTGGTAATAAAACTCACAAAATTATATCCTATTATATTCGAGTATTTTGCATTTTTTTGACATAAAATATAATTATATTGGTCGTGAAAGTGTATTTGTCTCAACTGTACAGACACGATTCAGAAGATGGATGATGATGGAATCATGATGAATGTCTATGACTCTATGCAAGATGAGCTAAAGGCAAAATCTGACATGGTCGACCGACTCAAGAAAAAGGTATATGATCATATCATATGTCACTGAGTATGGACTTTTTTTTTGAGCGGGTGTTGTGAGGACGACCAATGGATGTGAGACCCCCTCAACCTAATTGTGTAGAAGATACAGTCGGTGTGTGACGAAAAAATGAGCACATTTTAAAATGTCAAATGCATAAAGATTACAGGTTGCCATAGTTAATGTCACTTCACTATCATGAGATAATTCTCGTCTATTTGACTCGATAATGCATCATTGATGCGCCACACTGAACGCGTTCTCCCTGGTTCCAGCTTCGTAATGTCGAGTCAGAGGTCAAGGACTTGCAAAGCGAGTTTGAGTTTGACAGGACAGACTACCTCGACACGATACGAAGGCAGGATCAACAGATCAAGCTGCTGCAACAGCTGCTGGATAAGGTGAGAGCCTTCATTCTAGATTCAAGGGTATTGTAGCATTTTACGTGTATGTGAAGCGTTTTGAAGTTGCTTGTTCTAGAATAAAAATGTTGGGAATCCTAAGGTGCTAGAGTGGGTGGAGAGTAGGTTGTGATGAGGTCATGCAGAAAATATTCAAACGATAAGGTTGCTTAATCATGTTTGGTTGCTTTAGAATTGGGGAGAATATGGTCTAAGATAATGGTAAGTATGGAAATTTTTTGACAATGCTTAAAGGGACAGGGCTTTGCATTTAGGTACCTGCACTCACTCTTAGATTGGGCCAGAACCCCACCCACCGATGATTGACAGAATCTGCTTGTGCATTTTAAATCGTTAGCTTCCAGTACGCGTTGCTATAGCATGAGCAAACGATTTGCCCACGAAAAAATAAAATCAATGTTTTTGCACTGCACGTACAAATGTACGTGTCGGCATAACAGCTATAATGCAGACGTGAACGCAATGTTAATCTTGTTGAGGGTATTACCAGGATATAAAATATGTCTTGGAGGCAAGAAGCTCGTACACAAAACTGATACCTCTGGGTGGTGTCGATTATCTGATAATCTCAAGTTAGGTTAATCAGCCTAATCTATAAGTCGAGGTTGTGATAGTCTCCTAGAAGTTGCAGCGATCGAAGATTCGGGGGTGGGGGGAGGCAGCTGTATCTTGTGTAGGTTGAAAATTTACTAAACAGCGTCTCTGCTTGCGTTCAGGTTCAACCGTGCCTTCGACGAGACTGCAACTACAGTAACCTGGACAAGGTGAAGCAGGAGTGCGTGTGGGATGAGGATGCTCAGCGCTGGAGGCTCCCCGACCTCATCATCGAGAGGACAAACCTGCCACCCGCAGGTAAGCGGTCGAAAACAATGTAAAAATAATCAGTGTAAACAACAAGCTCCGTCTTCATATTTCACTAGCAGATAAGGTCGATGTATTGATGAAATGATGAGCCAGGTAAGAGTGGATGTGTGGATCTAATGTTCTCCACAGCGTAACAGCTCTGCAACTATAGCATGTCTAGCAGACGTTGTGCGTGTCCTGGTTGCTTGGTTACGTACCATGTTGAGTCTGCATGCTATTGATTCGCTAAAAGCACCAGCTTTTGAACAATCCATATTTCCTATTAAAATTTCCATGCTAGCCTTCACCCAACCTACAATTTCGTAGTTGTTTTTGTATTAATATGCTTAATAACATCATTATTAATTGGAATTGTATTAATTGTTTTATTCTACAAGCAACTTATACTGCACAGTTCGTTATAACGTTCATACTCAATTAGGCAGACTCAGTTGTACTTGAAAGGGTCTGTGTAACATGCTATTATTAATGATGGCAGCAGTTGCCTGTACCATGGCAACTGTCATCTGACGACTGAGGTAGATCAATCTCAACAGACGGAATCTAAATGCTATTTCTCATTTTCTTGTTATGCCTGCCTTGCCACTTTCGTGTGTATCTAATGATAGGCAATCGTGAGTATTATCGTGGTGTACCTCTGGTGATTCAGTAATGCATGTTGTGTAAACCGTAGATACTTCGTAGAATTTTATAGGCCGATGAATTATTGAGTTGTGGTTTTATAAGTTGTAATAATGAATGTTATAATGAGGAATTTTGTTTTCCACTCGACATACATAGTGTAACCAGTTGTCACATATGTCATGTGAATTATATTATGTTGCGTTTATATATGTATCTATGTATTATATATGTATCTATATATTTGTATTTTTCTCTTCCCCTCCATCTGGGATTTTTTCCTGGGTGGTCTGACACCTGCTGCGACGTTTCTGTGTCTGTCCTGTGTATTTGTGTGATTGCCCCACGATGTTATTGGTTCAAATATCCATCTCATTTAGTAAAACTGTTAAAACCGGAAAAATGATGACATGATAACTGCTGTGTGATGAAAGCTTGCACTCACCTTAGCTGCTTTTCTCTAAATTTGTTTGCAAAGCTGATTTTTAAACTGCTTCTATACTCATGACTCATGGAAAGCTTTTTGGCACTGCTTGTTGACCCATGTTGTCCGATTTTATATTTGCATGTGGATTTCACTCCCATCACAGAACCTTGGAACAGTAAGTATGCTGGCCAATAACTAAAAAAACTATTCATATAACACCGCCCGCCACTCATGCAAGTCAGCTTAAAGGAATAATAGGTCCATTGATTATGCAATGTTGACGAATGCTACAGTAACTGGCACCTTGTGTAGTTAATAAGTACATTACCTTATAGCCAAACGCGTATTAGATTGTCCAATATCACTGCTGGTTACATTACAAACAAGACTTCAAATCGGTTGTTGATATGTATCAACGTATCATTTACGTGCCGTAAATGTCATCCAGGAGTCAAGCGATGACGTAAACATCTGTGCGGCCCGTATGTTTTGGATGCCAGATGAAACGGAAGTGTCAGCGGTGTAACCATGCACGGCCACGGACTAAACATGGAAATAGAGTAAAACACACGTACTAATCACGGACGCACGTGGACAGCCCTGACAAAAAGTGCCTTATCACGAGCGTCCATGTTTACGAAATCACTGATGATAGCATTGCGTACGGCCGAGCATGCGTGCGAAAATGTCCGGTGCACTATAAATCTGTATCACACCCGCTTCGCCGGCAGCGGTTTGAAACTGTAAACAACTTTTTGGACTTCGGATTTCAATTAGACATTTCTTAGTAATTAGCAGTGATATTGGACAAACTAATACGCGTTTGGCTATAAGGTAATGTACTTATTGACTACAAAAGGTGCCAGTTACTCTAGCATTCGTCAACATTGCATAATCAATGTACCTATTATTCCTTTATTAACAACAGCTCAGTATGCATGCGTGCGTGTGCTCGTGTGCGTGCTCGTGTGCGCGTACGCTTGTATGTAAAAACGTATAATTGTATAATTATACGTATGGATGGATGGGTGGATGGGTGAATGGATGAATGGATAGATAAATGGACCGGCGGACGGATGGATAGATGGATGGATGGCTGGATTTGCTATGGGTGGGTGGGTGTATGGGTTTGGGTGGGTGGGTTGCTGGGTAGGTGGATAGTTGAATAACTGGATGGGGGGGGGCAGATGAATGGATGGGTTGGTAGATGAATCGATCTGGGTGGATGGTTAGATGGATATATGGATGGTTTGATGGATGCATGGTTTGATGGATGGTTTGATCTATCGATCTGGGTGGTTGGTTACATGCATGTAAGAGTGGAATAATATGCATCAGAGACAGGAAGATGAGAGGTTAGTTAGGGATGTCTACAATCAGGTAGGAATGTAGGTAATTATATCAGTGTGCGTAGCAAATTATATCCCAGTATATCTATCATTCTATCACATCTGTAATATTGATGTAGGTTCTGAAATCCACGACAGATTCTAGTTTGTTGCTGCTGCTCGTATTTTTTCCAACTCTTGGCCGGCGTTCACTCTCATCATCCAGTGCTCAATATGTATATATATATATAATATATATATATATATATATATATATTGCCTTAACCACTGGTATGGTTTTCATACTCTGGGTTTACGAGCATGTGAACGCATAACAAAGTACTGCGTGAGACGCCTGCGTTGTGGAGGGAGTACCGGATGTACTAGCTTTCTTTTTGTCAAGAAACGGTGCTGGGTCCATAAATGACCTATATTTCTACACAATAGCCTAAACACATTGTGGTTTTATTTCGATCCATTCGCTGCTGTTTCTCATGCACGCACACTCATTTGCACATGGCAAAAACACCTTATTGGGCCACCCGTTGTTACCAGTCTTTCCTTTCCCAATTACCATTCACTTATGAAGACTTGTTGGATATATACATGCGCGCGCGTGCGTGCGTGTGATCTCTATAACGCCGTCAAGGTCAGCTTCAGTCATGTGGAGTCGCATGGTGACTTGTAGTTGCTGGAATTATCAAAATACATTTTATATATATATACAGAATATTCCATACGTATGCTTGTGATTCGCTCTGTTATACTGTTTCCAGCATTGAATACGACGTGATCAAAATAAAGCTGGTAATAGCTGGTTACATAGATCTTTAGTGAGTTTTGCTTGGTTGGCTGACTGCAGCTCTCGCTTTTGCAGGGGTGATGCCAGGCGGCAAGGTCTCTGTGACAAGCTTGCATGGCTATCACCATAGCAACGGTTCCATTAGTGACCCGGGTGAAGACAGCTACTATCAGGTAATTCTCACACGTCGTTTGCTAAATGACGTTTTAAATTAATGTACTCACTTTTAATGAAGATTTAGGAAGTCTCGTTGAGTGCGTTATTTAGTAACGTGACAGATCAACTGACAGGTTTTATCCAGGTAATATAGATTATAATTTGACTGGCCGAATCAATACTGTATGCAATATATTATTATGCTGCCCGACAGTGCCACTATCACACTGCCCTCAGGGTGCCTTGTAACCGATAATCTGTTATACTGTGCTCCTGATAATATTATTGTGATAATAGCAGTATTTGTTGCGATGAAAAATGAAATCACGAGCAATGCGTCAAAATGAAGAGGTCTCATTGTTTTATCTTTTAGTTTCAAATGTGATTTTTTTTTATAGAAACTGGAATCAAGCAAAAATGAGGTGTTCGCAAATGACTATTTCAAACCAAAGCGAGACCTCACGCAAGTGTATGGCCGGGACTCTCTATCTGGCCGAAACATACGTGAGTATATAAACCAACATTTCAGTTGACATTATGATCCTCATGTGTTTGGGTTGCTATAGGTTATCATGTGTGTTGCGCACTCCTATTATCAGGTAATGACAAATAATATTATAACAATGACAAATTGACAAATATGACAAAAATGACAAAAATGACAAATATATTTGTCATTATACGCTCCTGCTATTATGTATATTCTCATGACATAATGGTTCTTGCTGGGTTGTTCGTTTGCTCAGGAAAACATCGCTGATCGTGTATACGTTGGCCACGTTACATAAGTAGCCTGCACGTTGCAATAGGTTATCTTTTCTGTTGTGTAGTCTTACCATCTATATTCTGAGGTGACACAGTGGCTCATTACCATGGTCGTAACAGATGACGCTAGAAATCAGGATGTGCGTACATGGTCCTATGTCTTAGTATCATTATTAATACCAGGGGTTAATGATGACAAATTTGTCATTATTAACCCCTGATAAGACCCATATTTTGTTGGTTTTTAGAATTAAAATATTAAGAGCAACAACGAAAGGTGATAAAATTTCTTTGTATCTGTATTGACATTCACGGTCAAAACAGGCACAAAGTGTGTGTTTTTAAACGATTTTGATGCATTCTCTTCATGCTTCTGCAGCACATAGAGAGACGAACTTCCCTGTCACTAACGACTGGACTAATGGTACGATAGGTAACGGCCCGCAGAGCTCAGCAGGAGGAGCTGGCAACATTTCTACACTAGACCTACCGAGGAAACCCGTGCGACTCGAGGCACTCCCTATGCAACGCTTGCTGGTCAACAAGAAGAAGAAAAACCGATCTAATACAGACCTCACTGGACCTTACACCTACTAGTAGCATGTGTCCAATAGTGTACCAAAGTGGGGGGAGTTTTTTATGGTTTTTATGCATGTTTGTCAATTATGTGTGCATTTGTACTAAATTTTTTGATGTATGGAACCGTTGAGTATTTTTGATGTTTTTAAATCGAAAACAATCTATATGCCCGCAGCTATTATCTGGTCAATAATTGTGTAACTAACTCAGTATGATGAGTTGATATTAATTTTAATTGGTCAGCAGGCAGTTTGTTTTGTAAATCACTGTGGCCTTATAAGGTTGAAATTTGCAATCGCTTTTACTGTGTTGTTGTCTGTTTAACTTAGCCCACATGTGACCATCTTACAGCCATTAAGACTCCTGAAAATGTGTAACTCTTTACTTTTGACATGTGTGAAAACTCATTGTTGTTAATCAGTCATGCTACGTGCATATGATCATGATCATATCATCATCATGATCATAATAATCATCAAATAATATATATATATATATATATATATATATATATATATATATATATATATATATATATATATATATGTATATTATATCATATGATCGCATCATGATGATGAATAGTTTTTGCTTGTAGCTAGAGGGCAGCAGTTGTTAGTGTGTTCAGCCCGGTGTCAATTTCCCCCGGGCGTAAAGGGAGGGTGCCGATGGGGGCGTGCTGGGGGGTGGGGGTTAGGGTTAGGGAAATAAGGCCATGTCTAGCATGGAAGTATCACAGAGTCAGACTGTAGAATGACGGAAGTGTACGAAGTGACTAGTGTTGCCACATAGCGGCATCCTCCCTCTACGCCCGGGGGAAATTGACATCCGTGTTCAGCCTGGGCACAATTCCATGAGCGTTCCTGTTATTGTCAAGTAAGACGTTATACTTATTATATTGTAAACTGTGCACACGCGTGTGCACGCAAACTCTTCTGCAATAATAGATCAAGTTATACTGTGATATATGTACGATACATGATGAACGTTAAGATACAGGTTGAAGCTCGGAGCATATATGAATAAGAGTGGTTCAGATGGCAGAGTATGCTGACCTTGTTGGGTTTTCACTGTGACGTTCGTTTATTTCTGTTAGAAGATGATGCCGTAGCTAATACCGTGTGAAGATAATACCCGTAATGCCGTATGCTTCAACACTTTGAATGACCGGCGTCTAGTTGGTGCATTTTATATTTTTGATAAACTTGTCCAAACTACGAGTACGCGATAACAAGCCCGTAGCTAGCGGAGGTGAGGGAGGGGACAATTGTCCCAGGACCAATGTATATAGCATTATATGGACAATAGCCAATGGTGAACTGTCCATGGTCAACTGCCCAGACCACAACGCTGCACGTGGATTTACCCTCCCACACCTGGGAAAATTAGTTAGCTACGGACCCCCTCCCCCCTCTCTCTTTCTCTCTCCTTCCTCTTCCCCTCTCTCTCTCATCCCTCTCTGCTCTCTGTATATCTCTATCTATCTATCTTTCTTTTTCTCTCTATCTTGTTGTCTTTTTCTCCCCATCTCTCTCTATTTTCAAAATTCGGTTGTTCAAAGTTCATTGGTGTTTATGAATACTGTCATTACTGAGATTAATAGATGTTTTTGAACGATTCCTTGTTGCGCATGGTGTGTATGCGTGGCTACTGGTCCTGCTGTTAACTGTTTTTGTGCAGTAGAAGAATTGCGTAGAAGTGAGCCTGCGAAGCATTGACCTCACATATATTGTTGTATCACGCGAAAAAAAGTTGGCGTCCAAAGATATAATTACACGTTGGCTAGTTGTAAATTTTATTTGATGAAGATATGGCTGGACCAGTGATCGGATAGCTACAACGTGCTCGCGTGTGTGTTGGTCGTTGTGTACAAAGAGTGATAAACAAAGACGTACGCTTGTTTATAATAGTGTTCCAGTGAAAAGTTTAAGCACAGCTGTGATAAGCTATATGAACTGTAAATATATAACTTGTTGTAAACGGCCTTTCGATTACATTATTTTTTTATTAGTTGCTTTTCTTTGAAAACAGGCAAACTGTGCTTGCCTGACTAGTATACGAGGTATTTCTCGGAGTAATGCGTTTTACTAGCGAACAGAACACGTGGTATTTGCTTCACGACTCATGTTTGGGGTTGAATAATGTTGGGATGGTTAACATTCGAGCCTTTAACAATTACAATTAATGTAACTGCCTCTCGAAGGTGATAAAATTGAACAGGTTCCACGAAACAGTCTTTTTAGACTTAATGATACTCTACATGTGGTGTAGTCTTTTCAGTGTTTCGTTAAGATTTTTGCTCGCATAGGAAATATTAGAAATGTGGGACCGGAGGCAGGGGGCTGCAACCTCCTCGTCCCCCAGATTGAATTTAAGATTAAACATTTTGACAGAGTATCATTAGTTTTAAGTTTTTCTAATTGATGAATTATTAGCCCGATTTCAAGATTTTTAAAAAGCTTTAAAAATGTTTTGGAAATGATATCTGAATGCTGGAAATGTTATTTTTGGCAGGGAAAGAAGCCTAGAAGCCTTGCTGATACCCTGTTTGTAGAATCTATGGTCCTCTCTCTCCTAAATTTGTTTAGTTTATGTCTCCGGGTTTGATATATCAAATACTGTATTGTGATCTCTTACGAAATATATCAATTGCGCTTTTATTATTAGTTATAAAATATATACTCATGAGTTGGTGGCTTGAATTGTTGTTCTTTTTTTTCATTGCTGGCAGTTGTGTGTATCCGTGGATGCTATAGATAGGACGTAAGTTTATTAAGTCTGATAGGTGTTATTGTATGGAAAATGCGTAATCTCCCATTCACGAATAAATAGCATCAGATAATTTCTGCTTAGTATAGGTAAGACATGTAATGGCTGTTTCCGGCAGTCTGCGTCCCAGTGCTGTTGCCCCCTTACGGCGGTGAAATAGTTAGAGAATTGGCATTGATAGACGAAAAGTTATATTGCTACGATGTGAACGTATTTTATTTCTTTTATGAATTTTTAATCATGCAACCCAGATTTTAAAACCAAGTTTTATAATAATTTTCGTCAACAATGCGCCGCTGGCCGCTCTCTAGAATTCCAAATTACCTGACTGGTTAATAGGCAGGATGGACTGTGATTTACCTTACGTTTATGTTATGTTATGTTATCTGATTATATCGATACTGTCGCGATATCCGAATCTGCTATTTAACCAACCCCACCCGGATGTATTTTTTGTTATTAAATGAATATGTGTGCCCGTAAGCGCGCCCGGATGCATGCGTGCTTACGTACGCGCGTGCATGTGTGACTGTGCGTGCGTGTGTGCGTGCTTTACTAATTTCGATATTAATAATTTCGATACATTATTAATAATTCGATTCGTTATTAATAATTTCGATACATGTCTCTGACAGTCGGTCGTTAATATAAAATTGTACTCATTCACAAATCAAACGTGGCACGCTACGCTACTCAAACCCGATCTGATAGACGCCGTGCGGTGCGCCTAACAGAATTTTATTAAATAGTATATTCAACGTTCTTATTTATAACGAAAATGCAATCGATTTCTTTACTGATCCTTCTCTAGTCTGGTTTTCCTTGTTTTTACCGTGGTTCTGGCTGTTTCTTATCTCGTGTCACCTCTTTCTCTCTCTCTCTCTCTCTCTCTCTCTCTCTCTCATCTCTCTCCTCTTCTATCTCTCTCTCTCTCGTCTCACTCGTTCTCCTCTTCTCTCTCGCTCTTTCTCTCTTTCTCTCTCTCTCTCTCTCTCTCTCTCTCTCTCTCTCGCTCTCCCGAGCTGTCGATGACATGTGGTTGAACTTGTTCGTTATACCTCTTCTCAGCATGTAAAGAGGGCTCGTTCAGGCAATTTCCGGCTCCCTCCTCATCCGCCGATCGTACATACATAGGTATATCGGCAGCGCTGTCGTCGTGTCCGCACCAATGTCTGCTTTACATCCCACCAGCTTGCACATATACCCCAGATTTGTTGTTGTCTCTCTTGTAATTAAATGTGTTGTCGGTGATGAAGAAACAACATGTTGGTCGAAGGTTTCGCCCAGTCATGTATGCTTGATGCTGCGTCTTAAATATACAGTTTACCGTTCTCTTGATCAGGCCCTCCTGCTGCCCAACGAATGATCTGCGCTTAATGCTGTGTTTATCACACTCTGGTAACATTTATACGACAAGTCCATGCGTGTATAATTAATCTGACAACGCGCAACATTAGTAACTATATTGTCCAATGCATTATATAGGAGATGGTGACAATGGCACACGTACACGCGTGATGTGGTGATGACGTCGTACATTTCACCGATTTAATCTCCAGTCTCATATCTTCTTTTCAGTGAGTGCAGTATTCGTTCCTTCTGTGACAAAAAATTGTTGCATCACTGTAGTGTTAGGGTATAAGAGCGTTTGGCTACGTGTAGGTGAACACATTTCTGTTGGATTTTGTGTGACTATCGCGTTTAGCAAATTCAGTAGTCACGTGGTGGAATATGGACAGAAGAGGATGGGAGGGAGGTGCCTGCATGGTATTGTTAGAGTGTAAACTTAGTGTAGTTTATGTTTACTCTTGGTTCACCCTAGCTGTATGATAAATGTATAGCCCGTACAGTGGCGCCATCTACAGTGGAAAATAAACGGGCACTCACTTAATGTTTCTCGGTCGAAATGAACAAACAACACCCTCAACAACACCCCTGTCGATTTTAAAGGGGCTACCCCCACATTTACGAAAATGACATAGGTCCAAATCTGGACATCATCTCTATCCTTGAACGGTAGTGGCGTGTCTTTCCTTCTCTCCCGAATCTACCTTCGTTACTATGACCCACCAATCAACAGGTTATGGGCCCAGGGCGAGAATACCATTATTCGATGGAGACGAAGACAAGTATGAACTATGGGAAGTGAAATTCCTTGGCTATATGAGACTACAAAAACTACACGAAGTGATTCAGAGAGAAAAGGAAGTCCAACATGGCGATGCCGATGCCGCCACTGCCGCTGATAGGGTCTATGTCCCCCAGGATACTATCGGAGGGTACCCTGGTTACGGTTAGATATATCGGAAAGTACCTCGGGGTACTATACAATATGTTGCTGCGTACCCTGCATTGTCCCACCGTACCCTGACTTTCAGCCAACTGATGTCGTAATACTTTCAATGTCAAGTTACCACATCCCATAGTAGAATCCTCAAAACATCGCAATCCAGTAAAAATGTATGCTATGTTTGACTATATTTTTCTTTTTCCTTTTTCATATATTCATATTTTCATTTTCATATTCATTTTCATATATCATTCAAATATTCATGATCTGAGAGAAATCTTTCGAAATATGAAACTGAATCATTTCTGTTCATCTTGTTGGTTAGATGCTTGTGTTCGTTCCACAAGCGCACACAGCCTTCTTGTTGTTATGTTCTTTCAAACCTCGCATTGAAATCTCCCTTCT